TTTTTTTTTTTTTTCATTAGTCTCTAGTAATGCTACTGATTTTTGTATGTTGGCTTTGTATTCTATAACTTTGCTAAGTTATAGAATAAAATATTTAGTTTTAAAATATTTTTGGTATAGTCTTTGGCGTTTTCTTTGTATAAGATCATATCATTTGCAAACAGTGACGGGCTTTTGTTGTTGGCTTTAATTTACATATTTGGTACAGGGTCTCACTACGCAGCTTGGACTCGTAGTGATCCTCCTGGTTCAGCCTCCCCAGTGCTGGGGTGACAGGCGTGTGCCATCACATCCGGTCTCGGTGGCAGGCTCAGTGCGCCCAGGAGCAGGGCCCCAGGGGCATGGCCAGCACAGCAGGCCCGGGGATCAAACCCGGGAGCTATTTGGGAAAGCTAAGATAAAAATGTTAGATTTACTTAAGGTCACATAGCTAGTGAATTTCTGGGTCATAATTTGAGGAGCACAGCTTCTAACTTTTGGTCCAGGATCCTACTCAATATATCAGGGACAGAATGTGGCACTTAGCATGGAGGGCCTGGCTGTGGGATCTGCCTGGGAGATTGGTGGACAACACTTCCGTGTGTGTCTGGGTGGGTCACGAAAGCCTGGGCTTGGGTCCAAGTCTTGTCCTGGCTCCTTCCTCTCTGGCACAGTCCCCTACCTCTGTTTTATTGCCACAAACAGCAGCTTTGGTCCTACACATCTTTCCTCCACATTTTCTCTGCCTTGGAGCCAGGCACTCAAAGGCTGAGCTGTGAGCCCATTTAAGCTGTCCTTCTTGGAGATGTAGGGGTCAGGCACTATGTTCTTGCAAAAGGAACGCTGACTGATGCCGGGAGCAAGGGGCAGCAGCAGGAATACGAGTTCAGAAAAGGAAAGCAATCTCTTGATTATCCTTAATCTTTTTAATACATCAGCTGGATGTATTCACTCAGTGGAATATCTAATCTGTATTTTCACTTTCACTTTGCTTTTTTTTTTTTTGTCTTTTGAGACAAGGTCTTGCTGTGCAGCTCAGGCTGGCCTTGAGCTCACTTTGTAACCCAGGTTGTTCTTTTTTTTTTTTTGCGGAACCGGGGATTGAACTCAGGCCTATTGCGCTTGCCAGGGAAGTGCTTATTCCACTGAGCCATCTCCCCAGCCCCGCCCAGGCTGTTCTTAAACTTGTAATAATCCTTCTGCCTCAGCCTCCTGAGTGCTGGGATTACAGGCATACACCACCATGCCAGGCTTTTGTATGTATTCTTTTTTTTAAAAAATTATTTATTTATTACATTTTTATTTAGTGTGTGTATGTGTGTGGCCAGCTCAGCCCACCAGGGGGTGGGGCTGGCTGGCATGTGGTGCTGGGGGATCGAACCGCGGTCCCTGTGCTTTGCCAAGCTTGTTCCAAGTAGGTGCTTTAGACCACTGAGCCATCTCTCCAGCCCCTTTTGTATGTATTCTTAGCAGTGATGTGGATTTCTTATAAACAGTACATGGTTGGGTCTTTGTAAATCCATTCAGTCACTCTATCTTTTATTTTATATGTTTTCATTTTTTAGTCACTCTATCTTTTAATTGGAGAATTTAATTCATTTTTATCTAATGTGATTATCTATTAATAAGTTCTTATAGCCATTTTGAAAGTTGGTTCCTACCTTTATTATGATTCTCCTGGCCTGTCAGGTTTCTGCCAAGAAGTCTGTTGTTGGGAAATTTGGGACATGTTTGTATCTTTTTCTCTTGCAGTCTTGAGGCTTTTCTCTTTATCTTTCACTATTGGAAACTTGGGGCTAGGGAGATAGCTCAGTGGAATAAGTGCTTGCCTGGCAAGCACAAGGTCCTGAGTTTGATCCCCGGTACCACCAAAAAAATAAATAAATAAAAGAAAGAAAGAAAAGAGAACTTGATTATATATACTTATAGTATACTTTGGAGGAGACTTGTTTAAGTCTAACTGGTGACTTTTGGCCTCCCTGTACCTGGATATTTGTGTTCTTCTCTAGGTTTTGGAGAAGTTTCCTGTTAATATCTCTTTCTACCCCTTTGGTGTTCTCAAAGTCTTCTTTGACAAAGCCCAGAAGGTGCTTGAGTTTGGGCTATACCACCCACCTTGCATATGGATGTGTATAGTCTTCAAAAAGCTATCCCAGGGTGGCTGGGGACATAGCGCACGGTCTAAGCACCTGCCTGGCAAGCACAAGGACCCGGTTTGATCCCCAGGACCGCATGCCGTGCTGGCCCTGGAACCCTGGGTGCTTTGTGCCAGCCACCGAGACCGGGCGTGGTGAAGACAGGCAGAGAGGTCTTACTGTGTCTCAAGACCCTAGCAGGTCGCTGAGTCCCACCCAGTGCCCCCTGCCTCCTCCCCTTGCTGGTGGAGTGCACAGACCCCCGAGAGTTGGCAACATTCTTGCCCAGCAGGCAGGATGCCTCACACAGCCTTCGCCCGTGTGCTCCTTCCCCAGATGTGCCCAGCGAGGCCTACTGCTGTGACTAGTTTTAGCTGCTGTAGTCCCTCCCAGCCTGCAGACAGGAGGGAGGCGGGAGGGAGGGTCCCCCTCAGTCCCTCTGGGACCTTCCTGCCACTTGTGGCCAGTGCTGGTACCCTGTTTATTCTGGTTTATTCCCCTCGCCCATCTGCCCAGAACTCTCATGTCTTTTGAGAAAAGTGAAACTGTCTTTTCCATAGGAACCAATGACAAGGCAGGGGGTCCCCACTACCTCCTGCGCTGGACGTCACCCCAGGTCATCAAGGAGACCCACAAGCCCCTGGGAGACTGGCGCTACTCCTACATGCAGTGAGCCCCGCTCAGCACTCTCGCCGTCCACCTGTTGGTCCATCCAGACGACTGACCTGCTGCACGTCGCCCACGCCCCGCTCCACAGGCTCCTCGGGGACAGTGCCTCTTGTAGAGCCTCTTCCACCATGTGTCCATCTCCCAGCCCCTCCGTCCCCAGTGTCAGGTGTCTAGGCTCTGATTTGAGGTCACATTGGGACAGAAAGAGCAGTTGACCCCCTTTCCTATCAGCCATCCTGACACTGCCCTGCCGTCTAGCAGGTACAACTCTAGGACCTGGCTAGTTCTCCATCCGTCTCCTTCCCTCGCTCTCTGCTGGGCCCAGTTGCTCAGGGACCTGGGGAATGCAGAGGGAGACCCTCTGGGGACCCTGTGGGGAGAGGAAGCAGCTCCAGGCCCCGTGGCAGCCTCGCCACTCCCAGGGGCTCTTGGTTGTGGCTAGGGGTGGTGTGCAGGGCACAAGCAGCACAGCTCCCTGTCCTCTGTGGCCTTTGCTGCCCCCTCCCTGTTCTGTGTCTGTCTAGCCCACCTGTGCCCAGCCATATGCCTTAGACACCATGTGCCTTCCTCCCGGTGCCCATGTCCCCCCAAGGTCCAGGAGGGCCACAAGGCCACGAGGGCCACCTTCCAAGGCGTGAGAGGAGGTAATCTTCCCAGGTCGGCTGCCATTTTGGAAATTGTGGATCACCTCTACTCTGTCAGGCTGTCCCTTAGCTCTTCTGGTCCTGCCTCTGGAGACATCCAGAGTCCATGAAAAGAGTGGATGCCCCGGCAGGGGCTTGGCTCAGCCCAGGCTGACCTTGCTGGCCCTTTTTCTCTGCCCCAAGACTTGACTGGCTGAGGATAGGCCTCTGGACTCCTCCTGAGCGGGTCAGGGCTCTGTGTGATGCGCCCGTTGGTGGCCTGTTCTTGGCCAGGCGTACCGGTGATTGACTAGCAAAGGAAATCCCATGGTGCCTGGGTTCTAGTGTTCAGGGCTGTGCTTAGGGGGGCTGAGGGAGCTCTGGGGTCCGCAGAGCTGCCGTGGGGACACCCAGGTGCCTGCTCCACACCATCACCCACAGACTGGGGCGGGTCCAGTGCCATCTTGGCCAGGCGTGGGCTCTGTTTCCTTCTGAGTTCTGTGTCGTTGCCCATGGTGTGCTGGGAGAGGGGCACAGGCTGAGGGTTTTCTACTGATTCTGCACTGTGAGGTAGCAGTGGGTACACCCAGTGCCACCAATAAAGCAACTGTCACCTGACAAAACTGTGGTCTTTCTAGGGCGGTGGGGGGCTGGGGGGGCTGACTCTGCCTTCCGGATCTGACGACCGCTCAGTGTGTTGTCCGATGGCAGACATGGTGTCCGCAGTGTGACAGGAAGAAGGATGGGCCTTGGCATCTGGAGCACCTGATGCAGGTGGCGGGAGCCGGACCTCTTGGGTTCAATTGAGTCTTGGCTCGCTGCTTCCCAGCCAAGTACTTTCTGAAACGTCCTGTCATCTCCCTGCGCTTCTGTCTCTTCATCCGTAAAATGGGGAGAATTCCTCTCATGCACGTGAGAGAGAGATGAAAGTCAGACAGGTGGGGCAGGTGGGATCCTGCCAGCACGCTGCCCGTGGATGTGAGCGGCCGCTCTTCCGGGGTCTCCAGCCCGCTGAGTGGGTCCTGGGGTGAGCAGCATAGCCCGTTTCGGACTCCTAAATGCCGCTTCTTCATCCCATAGGAAGCGTGGCTCCAGATTAGGAGCTTACAGGTGGCTGTGCCCAGGGACAAAGGGCACAGAGCCTAGAGTGCCCTGACTGCAGCCCACAGAGGGGAAGCCTGGCATTTTACTCCTGAGGAATGTGTGGGCTCGGTTCGTGTTTTTGAGCAAATAATAAAACTTGCTCAAGGTCACACTGAAACAGGCAAAGGTGGCTGGTGCTTGGCTATGTGCCTGCCTAGCTGGTTTCGTGTGGCCCGGACAGTGTCCCTGCTTGGCTCCCAAGGCAGCTTACAGAGATTGGGGGAGAAGGACCAGCATGAGGTCACTGGGTTGGTGTTAAGAAGGTGGGTGTGAATCCACAGCCAGCACCTTGGCCACCCGCTCTGTGGGTCCCTGCCTTCTATGCTCCCCTGCCACTGTCATCTTATGCTGACTCACCACTTCTGCCTCCTTTTGAACTAAGGCAAGAGCCCGCTGCCCATGCCCAGCCTGGTGGATCTCAGGCGTAGTGCCTGGTCCCCCCTTCGGGTGCCCGAGGCCTCTTTGCATAGCCAGCACACTAAGTCCCCATGTCTGCGGTCACCCACAGAGCCCCTTCATTTACCTGCTGTGGCCAGGGGCCCAGCCACAGTTCTGGCCTCAGAGCATGAGCCATTTGACTGAGGCCGGATGTCCCTCTTACCTCCATCCTATGGGCTGCCAGCCAAGCATGCACTAAGGAAATGAGGGGCCACCTGTGCCAGCTGCTGGCCCTGGGGTCCACTCAGAGCCCCAAGGGTTGGCAGACAGAGGAAGCCAGAGGGTGAGGCCAGCCCTCCTCCTGGAGTCCACCTTCATTGTCCTGAGACCCCCCTTCCTTGCTCCCCATTGGAAACCTGTGTGTTCTGCTTGAGGCCAGGCTCACCTGGGCCTGAGCTGAGTGCTTTAGCCCCCGTACCCTCCAGGCAGCCCTGTAAAGTGTCCTGCTGCTCCCATTTAACAGATGGGGAAGTTGAGGTGCGAACAGGTTAACTTTAGCACTCTTAGGGAAATGACCACCCCCGTCTCCAGCAGCCAGGCCATTGGCACCACTGCTGAGTAGCTGCAGACCCGGGCAGCCAGGACCAGGCTCCCAGCCCTGACCCCTCTTTGTTTTTCCTCTACCTCTCAGCTTCAGGGTTGACACATCTTGGGGAAAGCTGAATTCAAAGAAAATATTTTAAAATAAAGGGCCAGGCTCTGGGGCCTGCATGAGTGAGGGGTCCTAAGCACAAGGACTTTATCCCAGATACATGTATGCTTAGGAGAGGGGAGACCCTGATCCGACTGAGACTGTATCTGGGGGTGGTACCCAAGGTCTTCACTCTGAGCCACATCTCCAACCCCTTTCTTCACTTATTCTGAGCCCATGTTGGGTTCACACTTGTGATCCTCCTGCCTCAGCCTCCCAGAGTACCTGCTGGCGTGTGCCACCGTGTCTGGCTCTGAGCACCTATTGGTAAGCCCCATGTTTCCCACTGATGATCGTGGGCAACCTCAGCCTGCAAGGGGAGGGAGCGGGGATTATTCCATTTCATAGATAAGGAACTATAGCTCTGGCAGATGGTGTCCCTGAGACCCCCTGAGATTCCACCTAGGGCCTCCCTGAGGGCCACTCACTTCCCTGTCTTGCCCACTGTGTCAGATGAATCTGGGTCTGTAGCCACCCAGGGCTGTCTGGGGGCCAAGGAGTTTACAGGGAGGGGCAGTGGCCCCACCAACCCATGGGGCATGGGACAGAGGAAGGAAGCCCGGGGCAGCCCTGTTCCTTGCCCTGAGCCTGGGAGCAGCCAAGGCAAATGGGCAGTCTGGGGGCTATGGTGGCCCCTCTGCCTCCCTGCAAGTGTTCTGCGTAAGTCTGTCATGGCTGACTGTCTCCTTGGAACGGGTCACGTGGGTGTGGGACCTCAGGCCCTGGATCAGGCTGCGGGTGGCAGCTGTGTTAGCCTGCACCGGGGCATGTCTGTGTGAGCAGCCCTGAAGGACAATCACAGTGACACGGGGTCCAGCGCCAGGACCCTGGATGGTGTCTCCACTCAGACTGTGGCACGCTGCAAAGCCTGCAGCAGGCGAGGGCTGCTAACAGCTCCTGTGTCGGGGTGTGGCACACAGGGCTTCCTCAGCACTGCAGCAGGGCCCTCACCTGCGATGCTAAGCATTGAGTTCATTATACAGAGAGGGAGACTGAGGCTGTGGACAGAGCTGGATGGGGAGCCAGGGATCGGGCCATCTCTGCCTCCTCACTGTCACAGAGGGGTCACAGAGCTGCCCCAACATAGTCCTGACTGACTTTACAAGAGAAGAAGGGATATCAACCTGCTTCTTTGGATTCTGGGCCACTGTCCCTCTCTAGGCCTCAGTCTCTCCATCTGTCTGATGGGCAGTGTGTGGATCTCTGCAGAACCGCTCAGCCGGGACACAACGTGCCGCAGCTGGCGCCTTCCTGCTTGTGCTACCTCACCAAAGGCCGAACTTCTGTCCCACACTGCTATTCCTGTCCTCTGTGTGCCCCTGGCTCTTGCTCCATGTCCAGCCTGGCCGCATGGGCTCGACCGTGCCCACTGCATGGGTGGATTTCCCAGCTAGCCTGGCTCTCCAGTCCCCACAAGCCCTGTGGTTGGGTGACATCTGGCCCAGCTCACCTAGATGCTCTTTCTCCCCCTCGCCTCATCCCTTGCAGGATCACCTGGCTTTCCCCGGAGGCTCAGCGTGGCCCCCAGCTGCCCAGCTCCAGCAGCTCCTGCCTCCCCTTCAGAGCCCATGCAGGCAGTCCCTGCAGCTTCCCTGGACACTGTTCTTCCCCAAGACCTTGGCCTTAGGTGGAACCCGTGTGGTGGGACCCCATGGTGGGGCCTGTGCAACTGCTCCAATCAGGGGACACATTCACACGTACAGTTCAGGACTTGGGCGGCCTGAGTTTACTTTCTGCCCTCACCACCATTAGCTCCGTGCCACTCACAAGTCCTTTAACCTTACAGAGCCTCAGTTGCCTCCTCTTTAAACTGAGGGTAACCATGGCAACCTGGCAGTACATGGGTGTGATGAAGCAGCAACATAAAGCACATGAAACATCTGGTCCTGCGTCTGGCCTCCAACGCCCATCGGGGACATCGCTATCTGTTGTTGCAGCTCCTTAGTCCCTGGGGTGTTGGTCAGGGCAGGGAACTATGGCCCTGGATGCCCCTGGAGTGCCAGCTCAGGAAGGTCCTGCAAGGACCAAGGAGGCCCGCGTGGATGCACCTGGATGGGACCTCCCAGAAGGGCAGTGGCTGAGCAGGGCCAGGCTGCTCAGGCCTTGAAAACAGGGACGAGAACTCTGACTTGGGCCTCGTATGCGGGAGGGAGCCTCAGCTGGGGAGAGCCGAGGAGGAGCTAGAGGCTCAGGTGCCAGGTGGGCCAGAAAGGAAGCAATGAGCTCCGGGCTTGGGGTGGGGCATGGAAAGGGGCATCTGGGCTGGAGAGAGGCTGGAGGTGGAGGTGAGTTCAAGGTGGGGCTGTTGGCGGCTGGTGTAGAGGCGGATACAGCAGCACAGAGCAGGCTCCTATGGCACAGAAGAGGGGAGAAGAACACCAGCCAGAACCGCCCCTCCTCCCAGCAGTACCTGCACCCTGGAGCAGCCACTGAGCCGGGAGGGTACGGTGGGTCCACTGAGGACCCAGCTTCACTACACATCTGGGTTGGAAAGGGACAGCGCAGCAGAAGGGAGATACAGAAATGCAGGCCATTGGCATCATGGCTTCCCGTGGGACCCTCATCCACGGAGGCAGCTCCCTCCCACCCACCCTGGGGGCAGACACCTTTAAGAATCTCATGGCTCAGTAGAATAAGTGCTTGTCTGGCAAGCGCAAGGGCCTGAGTTCAATCCCCAG